CTACTGAGATCTGCTCAAAAGGTGTCTCAAAAATTCAGAGCAATTCCCAGCTCTGCATGGGGCCTCAGCTGCCGTTCTGGCCTCCTCCCATGTCAGAAATGAAACGCCTCCTCTCATTACTCCGCTGCTGTCAGTCCCATCACGGCACCTGCAGCCCACAGTCCCGACACCTTCCCTGCCAAGTGAGGCTTGTCTCTGTGGTGTGAACCCTGGGTCCGTGTCTTGTCACTGCGGCAGCAGGCCATGGGGAGTCAAGCGGCAACAGGCCATGGGGAGCGCCAGGTGCACTGAGGTTCCCCAATGAATTGATCCAATCAGGGAGGTTTCCATGGCTACCACGTGCCCCTGGAGACTCCACTCGACTCCTGCCAAATGCCTAAGTTGACTGGTCAGGGCTGCCTCAAGCCCAGCTTAGAATCTTGCACATGCTATAGACACACATTCTTCTATCGCTAAGGCCAGGGTGCTTTACATTTCGATGAATTAATACAATCATTTTCACAGAATGGGAAGTTACACAGAGATCTGACACGGAGTTACATGGCAGGGTGTGCGGCCAGGGATGTTCCCAGGATCCACCGAGGCCCCCGATCTGCCGACACTCCTCCCTTGTCACTGTCCCTCGCCTGGCTCAGATTCTTTGATCAATAATCATTATTTTCACTCCCTTGCACACACCATCAGCTCCATATCTACATCTTCACTTGGCAAAAACCACACCCCTGGCTCACCCTCCACCGACCTGAGGCCTGTAGCCAGCAGCAGGCGCGGCTGGAGAGAAATGTACACGGCTGTGCTGGCCGGGCCACCGACTCCCCGTAGCATCCACGGACCACCTGCTCCAAAGCCGGGTGTTTTACCAATGGTTTATCATGTGTCCACTCCTGCAGGCAGAATCTTATCTAGTTCCAGCATCACCCACGAGGCCTGGCACACAGTAGGTGCTTAATAAATACCTGCTGGTAAATGGTGTGCTCTGCAACATGTGGACAGGGCACAATCTGTGTGTTTGGGACGGGGCAGGAGGCAAGGCTCATGGTAATGGGCAGGGAGGACTTTGCAGTCCTGGGATGAACCAACCCCCTTTTCTTATTCACAACCAACTTGTTCGAATGTCCTGTGACCAACCCGATCCAAAAAGAGTTATGATACCACCCAAATCTGTGACATCTCCATCCTTACAATCTCACTCCTCCACCGCCTCCCACCATGGCCACGCTCTGGACCTGCCTCTCACTCTCTCTCCCCGGGTCTCCTTGCTGGTCCCCAGGCCGCCAGCCTTGTCAGCTAGAATCCAGTTCACCCACGACACACACCCATGGCACCTCCAAAGCTGACTAGTGACACGCCCCTGTTTACAGTACATCAATAGCTTGATAGCTTCCCGTCCCCCGGAAGCAGGGAGGTGGGAAGTCAGCACAGCCTCCAGTAACGTAATATAGATGCAGACACCGAGACAGGATTCAACCCTTCTGAGGAATGAGGGGGGATGTCTCTGTTTTCACTCTCCCACCTTAACACTGAAGCACATGTTTACCTCCATCTTTTCAGAGAGAACCAGCTTCAGGGTCTAAGGGCAACCTGGAGAGAGGTTGCAGCGTCCTGTTCAGTAGCCGCTGGCCACAGGTGGCTATTTCATTTGAAGTATGATTAACCAGAACTAAATCAAATTAACGATGTCGCTCCTCAGTCACCAAGCCACATTTTAGGCACTCAGTAGGCACATAGGGCTGGTGGCTGCTGCCAGGTGAGTGCAGACAGAGCGGTCTCTTATTACAGAAGGTTCCAACAGGCCTGAGGCTGGATCTTATTCCCACCATTTTGTGTGCATCGCCGTTAGGGTTGCGGCTGCCTCCTGTTTATGGCATGTGATACTTTAACTTAGGATGGTGAAATTCAATTCCCTTTCAAAAGAAAGTTACTTAGGCAAAAATAAAGCAACTTGATTTAAAAAAAACAATTTTTTTAAATGGGAAAAGTAAATGGAAGCCTGTGGGGCATGCGGAGGCAGTCAGAGCTGTGGGGGTTTTGTGAATGACTGGCTTTCGGGGCCCCCGCCCCAGGAGAAAGCCCCCTGCCCACACCATCCACAGCGCCACAGCTCCGGCACCTTCTGCCTCCTCATGCGTCCGCCTCCCGCACACCCATGCTCTCAGGCAGCCTCCTCGAGCCCAGGGAGCTTCCTACCCAAATTCCTTCTCTGGCCTCCTTGGCAGCCCCCACAGCAGCTTGTCCAGACCCTGGGCTACAGCAAGGATGGCTCCCTCCCTTCCACTGCCATGGCAGGGCTGTGTCCCCCAGCAGCCCCCGAGCCCTCCAGGGAAGGGTTGAGTTTCTGCCATTCATCCCCGTGTCCCCAGGGCTCAGGGTGGACCTGGGAGTAGAAAGGCACAGGGAATGAATGGCTGAATACGTGAAATGAAGCAGCATCCCTTCCATACTCCAGGGCTTTACGGTGCTTCAGAAAGGGCTTCAGCACCCACAGTGTCACGGAATCCTCACAGCAGCCCGGACAGAAAAACCGCAGCAATTACCATCCCCACCTGAGTCCAGCAGGAAGGAGGCGGGGGCTCGAGGAGGGTGGCTGCCACTGTCCCAGGGCTGCAGGGGGCAGGCCAAAGCCAGGGCAAAAGCCCTAGACCAGGCATGGAGGCCCGAGCATGAGCTCCGGCTCTGCCCCTGCTAAATGGGGACTCTGGGCCAATCCCTCATCTCCCCCAGCCTCCATTTCCTCATCTGTGAAATGGGGTGATCATCACATTACCACTGTTTCTGAGCACCAAGTGAGACAGCGAACGGCAGGCTGATTTGTAAACTGTACGGTACTGCCTAGGCCACTCAGTGAGCCCCACATCCTCCCCATCTGCAGACCTGCAGCCCCTGCTAGGAGACTGCCTCTCCCCCACATCCAGGGGCTGGGGGCGGAGCTGACTTCCTCCAGCACCAGGGAGAGATACAGGAGTCCGGCCTGACCAATCACAGCAAGGCATTCACCCCCAATGAGAGCCCACGGGGTACCATCTAGGGTCCTGGTGGGACAGTTCAGAGAGAACTGGTCTCATTTCTCCTGTACAGTATTCTGGGAAGGTGGGGCGCGAACTACGGGCACCTGCGATTGAAGCCCCAGAAGACAGCAGAGGCGATCAGCCCAGAGAGCCATCGCCCATGCTGCTCCAGCCCCTGAAGCCACCTGGCCTGAAGCGCTCTTACAGTTACCCACATCAAACATGCTCGTGCAGCAGGAAGATCTAACCAACCGCGGCTGTGAGCACTGTGGACTGGTGGGGCCCGATGGCCTTTCAGCTTCAATGGAGGATCAGACAGATGTCCAGCCCAGCCCGCTATGTACAGAGAAATCTGAGCTTCAAGCCTTCAAGGCGGCTCGGGTCCCAATCCTTCCTAGAACCTTTCTGGCCATCCCAATCCAGCCTCCCAGCTCTGGGCACTCCATGCTTTCGGGACAGGAGAAGACAGAGAGACTCTGATGTTTCCTGACACCCACCAAGGGCTGACTTAGTGCTGGGCACATCACACAGAGGGGTTCACTGACGGCACCCCGCAGCTCTGTGAGGAAGGATGATTGAAAAGACGGAGGCTCAGAGAGAGACGTCACTCACCCAGGGTCACAGAGCTTGAAGGTGGCAGTCAGACCCAAACAGACTTTCCGCCTCCGAAACCCACACATGTGCCCAGCACCCTCTGGCTGGCTCAGCGGACATCCGACGCTTTGCTCTGCTCCCTTCCTGCTGTTTCCTGAGGGTCTCCCTGCCCAGGGGTCTCCGGCTGTGCCTGGCTCTCAGCCCACAAAAGCCATTTTTTACTCTCTTTCGCCCTTCCCGGACTGCTCCCCGCCTCCCCTGCTCCCCACAGCTATCCTGGCTTCTACTGCCCCGAGGGATGCAGCCCACTGGTGACCGGTGCTGGGTGCCCAGGCTGCCTGGAGTTGGGAGGCCATCGGTTACATGGAGGCTCTCAGGAGGGTCTTCCCACCCCTTCCAAGACACACCTGGGCGGCATCCTCCACAAAGGGCAGTGTAGTGTGGAGGTTAGAAGCGGGGAGTCTGGGGCCTGAGGGCCTGGGTTTCAAGCCCAGTTTTGACACTTGCTGGCTGTGAGCTTTGAGCTAGTTAACTTGAGTGCTCTGTGACTCAGTTTCCTCATCTGTAAAGGAGACTTATAACAGTACCTACCTCATAGGGTTGCTGTGAAGATGAAATGAGTTACAATGAATGCTTGTTGATGTTAGTCACAGAGCCTGGCACACAGAGCCTCACTATATGTTATTATAATTATTATTATCATTGTTTGTATGCAGAATAGTGACATCTCCGCGACCTGCCTGCCCGCCCACCAGCCCCCGCCTCCCACTCCCGCCAGCAGGTCAAGCCTTGCCCTGCCTGCAGGCTGGTGCTCATGCCATCACCAGCTCTGTCCTCAGCAGTTGGCGGGAATTGTCAACACTGCTGCCCCCAGCTTGCCCTGACACGGGAACATCGAGCAGGGGGCTCTCAGGACCCCAACCCAGCTGGGCTTCTGACACCCTGGTTTGCACCCAAAGCCCTGGCTGGGGCCCCAGTGCTGGTCCTCCTAGGCTAACACAGCCTGCCTTGGGCCCCGGTGGGGAGGGCCCCAAAGGGCCTTCAGTGGACGCTGAGCCAGGCCAGCAGTCCCTCGTCCAGAGCAGCTGAACCCTGAACTCTGTCTCCTTCCTGGCCACTGGTGAGGCCCCAGGATGAGGGGGATCATGGCCACCCTGGAGGAGGCAATGGGTTACGTGCAATGCTCAGCAACCGTGATTTTTGTGGTTTTCAGAAACAGACGTGACATATGATTCTGTATCTGGGCCTCACACGCATACTAGGAGCCAGAGGTGCCTCACTGAAGAAGTTAAACAATGCAGCCACCCCCAAACCAACTGGCTGCCAACCAAACCAAACCCGCCGCCCACTGGAAGCCACCCTGCCTGTGGGAGGCACCGGCCAGGCCACAGTGAAGGATACTGAAGCTCCTGTCGGTGATGGCCAGGTGCCAGAGGTTGATGCGCAGGTCATCCGCCGACATGTAGGTCTCGCAGTCACTGTTGACGGAGATGGAGTTGATGTGGTAGGTGTGGCCATTGGCAAAGATCCTCCGAGGGCTCACCTCCACCATCAGGTCCATGGGTTTCAGCACCGGCACCTGCAGAGGATGGGGAGGCAGGGAGGAGGTGAAGGCTAGGCAGCGGCATGAGGACGTAGCACGCCGTGGGCACGTGATCCAAACTGGAGGCTGGAACACAGGGGTGGGCGTCCATCCTGATCCTCCGTGGTCTGAAATAGGCAGTGACAGATGGCAAATGCCTGCCACCCACCAGCCCTGCATGAGAGGCATGAAAGCTTACCCGCTGTGGGTCTGTGAATAAGTGTCTGAACCCTCCTATACCCCAATTTCCTTAACTCTAAAATGAAATGGAAAGATAATGTGGCAGAGCCAGCCAATTGTCTACCAAGCCTCCTCACCTCCCTCCTGCAACGCAGTGCTGTCACTGGGAAACAGCTGTCTACATGTGGACTACATTTCCCAGCAGGCTTTGTGCCCAGGCATGGTCATGTGACTAGTTCTGACCAATGGGATGTGAGCAAAGTGATGCCTGGCCCTGATACAGTTAAGCAGCGGGAGCAACTCCCCATGGTGGAAGGTGAGGACCCAAGCCTTAGGGACTGAGGCTCACGGGATGGGGATGGAAGGAGCCTGCAAGAGAACTGTATCCCAACCAGCACACCCACACGGAACCTTCCCATAGTGAGAAATGCATTTCCAAGCTCAGCCCTGGACTGATGGGGTTGTTTTGTTACAGCGGTGGAATTAGCCTGACTCATACGAACTTTCATCTCAGATGGCTGGTGTGAGGGTCCTTGCCATGGCATCAGACATTGGACTTTCACAGCCCCGAAGGTCCCTCGCACAGCCCTGACCAACCCTGAGGCTGTCATCTGGTCCCATCAGCTTTCCTAGCTAGCGAGGCGTCACCTCTTGCTTATCTCTCCATCTCTCTGGCACTCAGTCCAAGGCCTAGCAGAGAGGCTCTCCAGTGAATGGGTGAATGTGTGAGTGAATGAATGAATGGGCTGTGTCCCTGAGCTCTCAGGGAACAGCTGAGATGGGAGGTGACAGCCTCGGTGCTGCAGTCAGAGTGACAAGCACTGAGCTCCTTTGGAGCAGAGGCAACTCTGCAGCCCACATTAAATTTTCCCACACACCAGGGCACCCAGCGTGTTTGTGTGTGGGAGTGTGCATGGCTGAGAGTGCATGTATGAGTGTGTGCATATAAGTGTGCATGCATGAAAGAGTATACGTGTATGTGCATGTGTGTGCGTGTGTGTGAGTGTGTGTGTGCAGCACCGGTGTGAGTGCCAGCCTGGATCTGGGTGGTTTCTGCGTTGCTGCCTCTGTGTCTTTGCTTCTAGGTTGTGTGCCTGGGAGTTGGTGTTAATGTGTCTGGACTCCTCCAAGGCATCCTCCCTGCATGTATTCCTGTGTCAGATATTTTAGGTAAGCTGCTAACCTTCCCTTCCTTCAGGGTGCAGCCACTGCCCACCGTGGGGATCCCTGGACTCTCAGGAGAGACAGGGAGTCCAGCAGCTCTGGAGGAGGGCAGAGCATCAATGGCCCAGCAAAGTCTTGGCATCTCAATCTGCGTTCCCCTTCCTTTTGGTAACGTTGCTTTCTGTTTTCTCCGGGCAGCCTTGGGACCCAATTTGCCCAGTGCTCCAGCCATTCGCTGCCATCCACCAAACCAGATCTCAAAGCCAGTTTTTTAGTAAAGGAGGAAGAGAGAAAAGAAAACCTTCCCTAAGGTTTGGGGGTTTCATGAGTAAAGCATGCTGCCTCCACAGAAGCCACAGTCTAGTCAAGGTGAGGGTCAAGGAAGATACAGATACTAAGGACAGACAGTGTTGGATGTAAAAGGCAAGAGTGGATACAGGAAAGATCACACTTTTCATCTGGCCTGTGCAGAAAGGCTTTACAGAGGTGAAGGCCAGCAGGGTTTGATAGGATGTATGGGAGTTCACCAAATTGACCAAGTAAAGGAAGGCCTCCTGGGGTGCCCACGGCCTCTCTGTGTCCCTCTGTCACAGCACTGACCGCCAGTGTGATGATGATTCCACGTCTGTTTCCTTGGGGGCTGGGGACACTTTGGGGACAGGTACCGAGTTGAACCTTGCTCACTTCTAGGGCCCCAAGGGCTAGCCCAGGGTCTAGCGTGGAGCAGCTCCTCAGTAAACAACAGCTGCCTCCAGTGTGAACTGCACAGGGTGGGTAGAACACTGTGCAGGGTTGGCATGGCGTGGGTGAAATCGGAAGCAAACAAGGTGAGAGGCAGGATGAGGACAGACCAGGGCACCCACGTTCTCAGTGACAGTCAAGTGTCTTGGGATGTGTGTGACTTACAGAGAAAAACCTCCAACACTGGGAGCGATATAAACAGGATTTTTATGAAGGCCACTGGCTCTGCCCCAAACACCAGGGCGATCAAGATGTGTCGCTGTATCCCTCCCTCTACATGAAACCCTCATAACCTTTCTTGGGACTGGGGGTGGGGCAGGGGGCACCATCACCCTCATTACTCAACATCGAAGCTAATTGGCTGCCCACTTCCTCAGAATTTATTTGTGCAATTTGCCGGTCATTTAAGCCAATGTATTTAAACATTTATTTCTTCTTCTCAGGAAGAGCATTGACTACCGCTTTATATTTCTGCAGCTCACTGGATGTTGGGCACGTGGTGTCTGTTTCAGGTATGTCTGTTTCAGGCCTTTGTAGATGCTGCAGGCCTCACATGGTCCAGGCGTCCCTCTGCCCTCAGTAAAGGACTCAGGAGCCACAAAGCTCTGCTAACCCATTCTCCTTCTGCCTCTGCCTACTCACTCAGTTGAGCAGTTTCAGGTGAGTCACTGTCTCTCTCTGGGCCTCAGTTTCCCCCTTCTTATAACAAGAGATTATCTGCCTTGCTCTCCACCCTCAGCTGCAGGTGAAAAACACGTTATAGCCATGCACCATCCCTGCATGCTCACAAAATGCCTAGAAGAAACGTGGTCATCTCTATGCTGCTGGTGAGGAAACTGAGGCAAGGGGCAGGGAGATGCCCGTGGCTGCCCAGCAGCCAGCAGCCCAGCCACGGTCTGCACCTGACTCTGGCTCAAATCTCAGAAGGCTTTTAGAGCCCTAAAATCCTCAGGTGTAATAAAGAGGCGTGTGCCTGCTTCCTCCTCGCCAGAGCTCACCTGCAGTGATGTCACCGTGGACAGGTCCTTAAGTTTCCCCTCTTCATCCTTCAGGTTGTATCCTTCGGGCCTTTTATCTCGTTCGGTAATCTTCCATAATTTGATAGTTTTATCTTTAAAAACAGAACAAAATAAAACAAGTCACATAATTAACCAGACGGATGGAAGAGAAGATCCACTTTAGGAGGTCATGAGGCACCTCCCAGGGGAGGAGGAGGTTCTGCCAACAGACGGCTTTGGACCAGAACTGCAGCTCTGCCTCGAGGCCTCCAGCCTTTGGCCTCCCTGCAGATTTCAGACCGGCCAGCCTCCACAGTCACGTAAGCCACTTCCTTAAAATAAATCCCCCTTTCTCTTTCCCACTCTCATACCCTACTGATTCTTTTTCTCTGGAGAACGCTGACTAATACAGGAGTTGAAACAAATGGCACCATCTGATGAGAATGAACTGGGAAGAGAATTGGTGTCAGTGGAGCATTTGGAAGGTACCCAAGGCCCTGCCATTAGGAAAGAGTGAAGCCGGGATTCAACACCAGGCTGGGAAGCTTCGAAGGGAGGGGCGTGTAGGGAGTGCTGAAAGATGACCGTTTCTCCGGAGAGGCAGGAAGAAAGTGGCATGTCTTTTTTTGTTTTTCTTTTCTTTTGAGACAGGGTCTCACTCAAATCACCCAGGCTGGAGTGCAGTGGCACCATCTTAGCTCACTGCAGCCTTGACTTTCCCAGTCTCAGACGATCCTTCCATCTCAGCATCCTGAGTAGCTGGGACTACAGGCTCTCACCACCTCACCTGGCTAATATTTTTATTTTTTTGGAGAGATAGAGTCTTGCCACATTGCCCAGGCTGGTCTCAAACTCCTGGGCTCAAGTAATCCATCCATCTCGGCCTCCCAAAGTGCTGAGATTACAGGCATGAGCCACCACACCAGCCTGGCACGTCCCTCTTAAATATTTTTAAAAGGGGCAGTTGCATGGGGCTTAGCACTCACCCGAGGCTCCTGTCCCCTGGGGCCTGCCCTTCAGGAGGACCTCTCATGCCCTGCTGGCTCAGGTGACAGATTTGCTGGGCAGGGCCCCTTACGGGACACAGACCCTGCCTTTGGGGTGCCTGGTGGGAGAACACCATCAGAACAGCAGGTGCCCAGAGCGGGGGTGAGCCTGAGTTAAGAGGAGCCAAGGTATCACAGGAGGAATGCCTGGCTCAGCGGAGAGGTCAGAAAAGGCTGGCACTCAGCGAGGCTTATGGGTTGAGGAGGGAGTTGGCCAGGTGCAGGGTGAGGACAGCCTTCAGGCACAGGTGGGCTGGCAGGAACTGAGCCTAGTCAGGTTCAGGAAAGCATCGGAGGCCCCGCTGAGGAGCTTGGACGTCCTCGGGGAAGGCGTGGGGACAGCACCTCGAAGCCTGGCTGGTGCTTGTGCAGCAGTTACTATTCTCAGGGGGTTGAGTGGGCACCATTTCACGGACCCCAGAAGGGAGCTGTGTCCACCCTGCTGAGGCTCAGGAAAGCAAGGCCATTGCCTAAGGGAGGGAGGGCAGGGACAGAATCCAGGTGTGTCCTGACTGGGCACAGTGTCTCATGCCTGTAATCCAAGCCCTTTGGGAGGCTGAGGCAGGCGGACCAGCTGAGGTCAGGAGTTTGAGATCCACCTGGCCAACATATAGTGAAACTCCATCTCTACTAAAAAATACAAAAATTAGTTGGGCATGGTGGTGGATACCTGTAATTCCAGCTACTTGGGAGGCTGAGGCAGGATAATCGCTTGAACCCGAGAGGCAGAGGTTGCCGTGAGCAGAGATCATGCCACTCTACCCCAGCCTGGGTGACAGAGCGAGACTCTGTCTTTCAAAAAAAAAAAAAAGAAAAGAAAAGAAAGAAAGAAAAAGAAAAAGAAAGAAAAGAAAAGAATAGAAAAGAATAGAATCCAGGTGTATCCTACCCGACCCCAGGCTGCCTGGGTCAACAGGGGGCCCAGGTAAAGGAGGATGGGCGGGGGGCGTGAGTGGGGGACCCAGGCCCACGGTGAGCCAAGCAGGACAGCCGTTGCCGCTTCCTCAGAGTGCAGCCTGGGAAGCAGGCATTGGGCCAGTCCCCAGAGCCTGAGGGGCACATGCTCCTCCCTGAGGCAGGAAGATTAGGAGGCCAGCCAGGGTCCTAAACCAAGGCTGCTCCCACTGCCCCCCAGGGCCGTGGTGACAGCCCCAGTTTGGGGGTCTGGATTCGGCATGGGGAGGAGGGGTTCGCTTTGTGTCAAGTGTCCTCTGTATCTGCGACCTGCATCCTTGTCCATCACACTCCCTCACCCCAAAGCAAAGGCCTATAAAGATGGCCCGGACGGCTCTTTTCACAGTGGGGGCAGCCCCGTGTCCAGCCACGGGGAGCGTCTGAGGGGGTCTGGCATCCTCACTCATGGGATTTACATGCTGCTTAAAATATTATTTTCTAGGAGTTCTGAAGACACAGAAAAACACTCACAATATAAGCAAAATACAAACCAGCATTTGGTAGAAACATCTACAGCCCGTGCCCCTGCATGCGAGGCCGGGCGGCGCCTCACCGTTGGTGGACAGGAGCGAGTGGGCGGCGTTCTGCTGCGGGAGCCACTTGATCTTGTTGATCTTCTCCTCTATCTCCAAGCTCTTGAGATAGTCAAACTCTGGCTCATGGCTCTGGAAAGTGCTGTAGACGTCGTACTCGCCCTGGCTGTGGGGCGCATTTTTACTCTGCAGGGAAACCCAGAGAAGGGGCCTGAGCACCGTGACCCGCAGGGCGATGGCTAGGACCTCCGGGGACCCAGCAGGGCCGGCCGTGGGACCAGGCGCCCAGCCGTGCCAGGGATCCAATTCGAGGGTCAAATGAAACTCTCTGCAGTTTAAGCGGCCCATGACTCGCAGTGTGCCAGGGACAAGCCCTGCTCCTGCGCGATCCCATGAGCACGCACACCCGAGCCAGCTCACTTGCTAATGCGAATGTTCCCCGGCACCTGCTACATGCTGGACACCCCGCTAAGTCGTCCCTGCACCATCGCATTCTACCCTCCAGGTCTCCTCTGCTTGAGCACCATGACTCTCCCCATTTCACAGACCAGCAAACAGAGACTCAGAGAGGAAGTGACTTCCCAGAGCCATGAGGCCACTCACCAGCCAGCACCCCTCTGCTGAGGCCTGCCTGACGCCAAGGCCGAGGCTCTGGCCACCCTCGTGTCTCGGGCCCTGACCTGCTCCTCAATTCCACGTGTCCAACTCAGGCCTAACTTGAGGAATAAATGAATATAGGAGCAGACTTTAACATTGGGACAGAATGTCTGGCAATGTCAGACCTGGATTAGAATCTGTCCCTGGCTTTCCTCAGCAGTGCTCGGCCTGGTTTAGGGAACAGAGCTCTTCCTAATAAAGACCCCTTCACTATGGGGCTCCCAAAATAGTCAGGTGATGAGTCCACTGTGTGTGCCAGGGACCACATTCCCAGGAGAGAGTTCAAGTTCATACGACAACATGAAACCCCAACCAGCCCAGAACGATTTCAAGACTTCCTGGTTAATTTTTTTTAAGTATCTATTTTTATATTTCTGTCCCTGTCTTGCTTTTGAAAAGCTTCAAAGTTCTCCAATATTTTTGCCTCCAATTCACTTCGCTTCCCACGAGCACTCGTGATGACAAAGGTCAGTGGGACCAGAAGGAAGAAAACACTAAGGGAGAAAAATTCAAAATGGAGAAAATCGCATCAACCAATCGAATCTCTTTCTGCAGCTTGGCAAAAAGAAGGCTGAGCTTCGCCGTGCCCGGTGGGACACCTGGTGCATCTGGTGAAGCCCATAGGTGCTGGCAGAGTGCTGTGTTCGAGGAACTGATTTGCAGCTAGGATGTGCCCCTTGTAAACTATTTTAACCCTCTGCACTCCGGGCTCATCTGTAAAATGAGGGGAATAGCCGCACTGCACTGCACCCATAGGGTCACCGTGAGGAGGGTTATGTAAGCCACCAAGATAAAGCCAGATTCAAGGAGCCTCAGCTCATGGGCCATGCTCAGGAGTGAATGGAGGGAGAGATGATTCTGCAGGTCCTCTTTTCGCCCCCGCTTCCTCCCCTCCCTCCTACCTCCCCTTCTCCGCCTCCTCTTCTCCTCCTCCCCTCCCCCTCCTCTCCTGCTCCATCCCCTCCTCCCTCCTCCTTGGTTTCCTGGATGTCTTCTGCAGCTAATTCCAGGCACAGTCCATGTTTGCTGGGGGAGACGCCCCTCTCTGAGGCTGGGTGGTGTGTGATGTTGCTGGCCACTGTCCTGGCGTCGGGCAGCCGGGCTTCCATCCCTGGTCTGCTGTTCACTAGCGGGGTGGCTTCTCTGAGTTTCCGCATCTGTCACAGGAGTGTGGATCTGACCCTCGGAGGTGAGCAGCGCAGAGTAAACGAGAAGCAACTCCAGAATACTTAGCAAGTGTTCTCAGTAAATGGGCTTTTGTCCCGAGGCTCTTTCAGTGTTCCAGAAATGTGGTCCTGGGCAGGTTGTCCAGGCCACTGCTGTCTTACCGAGAGTTCTGCTGGACAACAAGCCTCCGGGGGTGGGGGTGAGGACAGGGGTGAGGACAAGGACCCAGGCCTGAGCAAAAGCCACCTAGCCCAGCCTGAGGGCTGTGACAGCTGGGCGAAAGTGAAGTCCTCCCGCTCCCCAGTCTGGCCAGGACAACGCAGGTCACCCAGGCAGAGTAAGGTTTCACTGAAGGCACGAGCTGGGGCAGCAGCTGGCTGTGCCGTGTCCTGACCATTCATCCGGGGTCTAGGACAGAGCGTGGGACGCAGGGAGCTCCCCGCAAACATCGGCTGAGGGCAGGGGGCTCAGAACCCGGCTTTGCCAGCCCACCAGGTGCACTCCCCCCACCACTGCCCGCCACTCCCCCTTCGGCATTCCAGAGCATCCCATTCCCACCCCTGGAATCCATGCCCCTGGGAGATGCCCCACACCTCCTGTCAGTTAAAAGCCCTCCTTTGGGTTGGAGTATAGTCCCCTACCACCTCTCGCCACACCACCCCTTATCCCCCTTATCCTTATCCTCCTCCCACCATGCCCACCTCCCACCTGACTCTGCTCCCCACTCCTCCCACCTCCCACCAGACCCAGGGCTTCGCACCTCTGGTTCCCGCTGGAAGATGACGACCCGGCCGCCCTTGTCACCTGTGGCCAGCAGCTCTCCCGTGTGGTTGAACTCAACGGTAGAGATGATGTCAGCTGGGAGGGGAACAGCAAGACAGGAAGGGGTGGCTGTCAGAGCCCGCCTCTCCCGGGTGCTCAACAGTACCACAGCAATAGCGAGCTCCCTGCTCCCAGAAGCCCCACAGCCCTGGGCAGGAGGCAGCAGGGAGCCCGAGGGGTCAGGAGCATTGGCGAGGGGCCACTAACCTGTCCCCTCCTGCCCTCCTCTTCCCTCTACACTGGCTGCGGGGCAGAGATCTCGGGACTTGGCACAGGCCTGGGGTGACCGCAGTGGCCGGCAGACTTTATAGTAACTGGACACTCTGGGACTCATGGTGGTATCTGAAACCACCTGGATGTGGCCTCGTCCTCCTGTCTTGAACCCCCCCACCCCCACCCCTGCCACCCAGGCCCGTGTGTTCCAGCAACCTGGGTCAGGGAAGCCCTTCCCAATATCTCCGTAGACAAGCAAGGCAACCCTCTGCTAGGGGCCCACTCAGGGCTTCCCACACAGTAGGACAGAGGTGAATTACGCCCTCTCCTTCAGACTCCTGCTCTGTGGCCCCACCTCCAGGCAGGCCTCCGGGATTGCTCTCTCATCTGTGCTCGCAGAAGCGGAGCTCAGCCCTGCCTGCCCTGACTCTCCCTGCACTTCATCCCAACCATGTTTCTTCAGGTCGCTCAAGAACCTTTCCTTATGGAGTCACCCCCATACCTGGAGTCTTCGATGCCCAGGGCTGGCCTTCCTGGATGGGCAAGTGTTTGGAGAAAAATGACAGCCCCATCTCCAGGCCCCACTTTTTGCATGTGGGAACTAGGGGAACACCCCCTTCTGTCACCAACATTCTCAGGTTCTAAGAGTCACAGAGATGAGGGGCCCGCACATTCTGGGTGGCCAGCCCTGGGAGTGGGGGACAGCAGGGGAGGACGGGGCCCTGGCCTAGAAGAGGAACCCCCGCTGGGTGACAGCTCACCAGCCTGAAGCCTGAGGCCTGCTCCACCACCAAGTGTGCCTGAAGCCCCCAAATGATTCTGACTTTTCATTTGAAGTCATTCCTAATATTTGAAAAGTAGAAGATTTCCTATAAAAATCCACATTTCCAGTATGTCTTGGAAGATGGAAAGTTCTAGAACACCATCCCCATAGGCCCAAGCAGCAACAGCTAGTAGGAGCCTGGGATAGCCCGCTGCTGTGAATGGGACCTCTGTCGTTCTTTGCTCTCCTGGCCTGGACTCTGTAGGCTCTAAAATCTCTGATACCACCTTTAGCAAAATGGATCTACTTTCAAACAAGCCACAGATCTGACCACTGCTCCCTGCAGCCACAGAGAGGATGCTCCACAGGGCTCCCTGTCCTAGCCTCTGTTCTCCCTATGGCAGCCAACCTGATGGCCGAACTCCTGAGCCAGGACATCCCTGTGTCCCTCTACTCAAAACCCTTCATTTGTCCCCATAACTGAATTCTAATCCCTCCTCAACCTCACCCTCTGCAGCTTCCCCAGTCCCAGGTGATGACAGCTCTATCGTTCACTTGCTCGGGCCCAAGTCTTGGAGTTGCACGCTCTCTCTCTCTCTCTCTCACACACACACACACACACACACACACACACACACACACCCCACATCCCATCCTGCCTGCTCAGCCTTCACAGCATATCAGGATGCCAGCCGCTCTCCCACCTCTCACTGGATGACTGCCACAGCTCTTTCTCCCTGGCCTGGCTACGACGTAGCCTCAACAGACTGGCAGGAGAGAGGCGGGTAACACCCAGGACTGATCCTGGCACTCCCCTGCTCAAAACCCTCCAGCGGCTCCCATTGTATACTCAGAGAAAAGCACTGAGTGTTCTGAAAGCAGCACCCATCCCCCGCGGCCCAGGTGGGCCGCATCCGGAGCCAAACCTTCGCGCCTCCCACCGTGGGCCAGGTAACCTGTTCTCTGCCCCCCACCTTGATTCTGGGCTTGTCCCTGTGTTTTGCTTTGGCCTGCAGAACGGCAATTCGACAAGCCGCAAGCAGAGATGCAAAGGGGCTTAGGTACTGGGGGGTTGCCATCCGCGCCTCTGGCGGTGCCAGGAGCAGGACCTGCGCAGGCTGGCTGACTGGTCCCTGAGGGGGAGTAGGAAGAGCGGGTGCAGCAGAAGCCCCCATACCCCAGCCTCCAGCTGGGCCCCGCTGACCCACAGAACTGGGCAAGCCCAGCCAAGCCCAGACCACAGAATCGCAGATGCAAGATGATGAAAACGTTTACTGTTGTATGCATGGGGTCTCGTGTTTTTAACTCAGCAAAAGGTACCTCCTCCCCTTCCCTAGCCTCATCTACTGCTCTCCACCTGCTTATTCCCCTCCAAATGCCAGGCTCCTTGTCCTTTCCCAAAAGTCCTGGCCACCTTCTGTCCTAAGACCTGCTCCCTCAGCCTGCAGTGGCTTTCCCGTGGGCACCAGCACAGCTCCTTCCTATTCTTCCAGTTCCGCCCGACTGCTGCCTTCCTGGTGAGCACAGCTGGGACCACCTTGCTGGAATTGCTGTCTGCACCCCAGCGCCCTCATCCAGGACACCCTGACCATCCCCACCCCAACCTAGTCTGATTTTTTTTCCTTCTGTAAAGGCTTTTATCATCTGTTGGCTGTCTTCCTGGCCAGAACGTCAACTCCACAAGGGCAGGAGTCTCAGGCTTAATTCACGGCTTCAAATGGAGCCTGTACGCAGTAGCCACACCAGAGATATCTATCCAAGAAATGCCTTTTCTTTTTTCAGTCCAGACCTTTTAGGACAGCTCCTGGCCTGCACTGGCCTTCTGAGCCATGAGTCAATGCTAGCTTTGAGGCAACAGAAAAGAGTGAGAGAGGGTGGTTAGAAGTGGGATGACAGGCTGGATATATCCCTCCATCCATCAAGACAGATGCACATGTCATTAAACTTAAAAAGACAAGACAAGAAAAGCAGCTCTGTGGGAACACGGAAACGCCCACTGGGCATGGAGTCAGGAACAGGGTCAGGTGTGCTGACCCCAGCTGTGCTAGCTAGGATCCCCAATGGGGCACTCATTCTTGCTATTTCATATTAAAACCCCCTGAGGGGGAAGGAACGGGATATAAAATTGAGTATAAAATGCTAGTGATGATCTACATCAATGATCATAACTATGTGAAATAAGGAAAGAAACTGTGTAGAGGGGAAAAAAGCTGCAAGAGAATTCCCCAAAATGTGAACGAAGGTAGCTTTAGGGTAGCTGGAATGAAATACTATTTCCTCTTCTTTCAACTTGTCCATGTTTTCTAGATTTTCTGTAATGAAGTTACATCATTTTTTAATAGCTATATTGAGGTACAACCAATATACAAAAAACTACACATACATAATGTATATCATTTGATGAGGGTGGGCATACATATAGTGTATATTATTTTTATGATGGGAACATAACCATGCTATTAAATTAAAATGCCAATAGAACTATTGCTATCCAAAGCAAATGCGGTCCACAAATGCTGAGTGGTTGCCAAGCAACACACACTAATGTCTGTGGGCAATTTACAATTTATTTGTCATTTTCATATCTGCCACCTCCTTTAACCTCACGCCAGCCCCTGCAGGAGATACTACTGTGATTTCCATTTGGCAGCAGAGGAGATAGAGGCTCCCTCCACGAGAGACGACGCCATGAGCTCTTTGCAGACAGAAGTGCTGGCTGGAGTCTTGGCTCCAGTCTCAGCTGTGTGGTCTTGGGTAAGCCACACAAGTTCTCTGAGCCTTGGTTTCATTATCTGTAGTGTGCTTATGGTGGAGCCTTCCCCGGATTAGAGGTTCAAGTGAGACAAGGAGGTGAGAGGGTAAGGGAGGAAGAGAAGACAAGGACTCCGGGAATAATGAATCATCAAAATGTATAGGACAGAAACTAAAGCTCCTGGTCACCTGTGCTCTTGGCTGCCACAGGATTGACAACCACAAGCTCTGCAATGTGGCGATGGATCTGGGGCCCAACCTCACTTGTGGATGGTCCCGCCTACCAGTCCCGCCAGTTGCCCCCTGCAAACATCTACAGAACTACCACCAGACCTCAGATCCCCTCGTGCCCAGGCCAGGGCATTGCTTCCTCTGGCCCGTGAAGGAGCTAGTGGATGTTTAACATCTACTCATTTTTACAGGTAAATGTCTTCGGGATTTGCCTTAAGAAAAGTTGCCTCCCTTGAATGCCAGAAATTCTCATCAGTAAGGCCATAAAATTAATTGTTTTGGCAGCCACCTCTGTGAAGAAAGTCCATCTTCTCATCTTGGATTATCTGACACATTTCCAGCTCCAATACCACCTCCTCCAGGAAGCCTTCCTGGATAGTCCCCTTTCCCCCCTCCCCCAGTTAAGTGGTCTCTCCTACAACTGCAGTCTTCTATTTTATTCATTTATTTTTTTGAGACAGATTCTCCCAGAGTCACTCCAGAGTCACCCAGGCTGGAGTGCAGTGGCAGAATCTTGGCCCACTACAACCTCCACCTCCTAGGTTCAAGTGCCTCAGCCTCCCAAGTAGCTGAGATTACAGACACCTGCCACCACACCCGGCTAATTTTTGTATTTTTAGTAGAGTTGGGGTTTCACCATGTTGGTCAGGCTGGTCTCAAACTCCTGACCTCAAGTGATCAGCCCGCCTCAGCCTCCCAAAGTGCTGGGATTGCAGACATGAGCCACCGCGCCCAACCTACAACTGCAGTCTTAAGGCCATTGTGTGCCCTTCACAGGGTACTGACACCTCCTGCATGGTACTTACTGTCTGTCTCCACGTTGTCTCTAGCCTTGACCAGAGGAGACGGCGCCACATTGTGGTTGACCACATTAACTCACATTTCTTAAGTGCTTACTGTCCGCCAGGCCCTGCTCTAAATGCTTCTGGTAATAGCCTAGTAGCCCTAGTGCGGCAACTCTCTCACAAATAACTATAGACTATAAACCCTTGACAAAACAACAACAAAACGACACTCTCTGAAGGCAGCAGAGGGCAAGGCCGCAGCGGACGCTGCAGGTGGTCAGCAATTGGGAGGAACAGCCGGCGTGGGCTTTCCTGGTTTCATGGTTTTCAGCCTGAGGACAAGTCCCAGCCTGTGTCATAGGGCTGCCGGAACTCAGACGGAAAGCCAGTGTCTCACTGGGTTGATGGAGTAGAAAACAGAGTCTGAGACACTCGCAGCAGCTGGAAAGGTGCGGGAGTAAATCCTGGAATGAAGAGAACCACCAAGACGGATCCCCAAATGGGGCAAATCAATTCTGCCCACATCTCGGGCTGACCCCAAACCACACACACCCAGGACAGACTTTCTGCAGCTGCAGCCCAGCCAGGGCTAAAAGCAGTGAACAGAGGCTCCTGCCACTGCCCACCACTCACCACTGCAGATGGCTTACAGTTGCTTTCAGTCAAGTTAACTGCAAATACAGAGCAAAACAAAAATGCTCTTTGGGGAGAAGGAACAAAAATCTAGAGTTGCTCTTATGCTATCATTCACAAGACCCAGGATATCATCCAAAATTATATGAAGATATACAAAGAAACAGGAAAACCAGCCATACTTAATATAACAGCTAGTCAGTGGAACTGACCTGAAATGCGCTGGCTACTGCGATTAGCAACTAGAGATTTTTAAAGTCGCTATGATAACTGTGTTAAAAGATGTCAAGAAAATTGGCTCATACTTAATGAAAAGAAAATAAATCTCAGCAAAGAAATATAAACAACTTAAAAAAGAACTAAATGAAAATTCTATAACTTAAAAATACCATGTCTGAGACAGAAAAAAATCACAGCTTAACAGAAATTGCTTAACAGAAAGTCTGAGAAAATAGAAGAGTTAGTGAACTTGAAGATGATCTCAATAGAAATTACCTAATCTGAAGAATAGGGAGAAAAAATATTTTTTTAAAGAAAAAGATCCTCGAAGACCTCTTGGATAATATCAAAAGGTTCAATGCACATGTGATTGGATTTGTGGAGGGAGGGGAGAGAGAATAAAGTAAAAAGAAGAGATGAAGAAATAATGACCAAAAAATTCCTCAATTTGGTAAAAGACATCAATTTACAAACTTAAGAAGCTTAGCTAACTCCAAGCACGATAAATACAAGGAAAATTACACCAAGATACATCCTGGTCAAACTGCAAACTACTGGGAATTGAAATAATGAGAAAATGTTAAAGCAGCTAGAATAAAAACAACATATTACATTCAGAGACACCGGGACTCAGAGACTGCTGACCTGTCAGGAGAAATAATGGCCCCAGAAGACTCTTTTAATGTGCTGTAAGAAAACTTTAAAACCTGGAAACCCAGAATTCTTAATTCAGTTGAAATATTCGTCAAGAATGAAGGGCAGGCTGGGCATGGTGGCTCACACCTGTAATCCCAGCACTTTGGGAGTCCAAGCTGGGAGGATCATCTGAGGTCAGGAGTTCGAGACCAGCCTGGCCAACATGATGAAACCCCGTCTCTACTAAAAATACAAAAAAAATTAGCCAGGCATGGTGTCGGGTGCCTGTAATCCCAGCTACTTGGGAGGCTGAGGCAAGAGAATTGCTTGAACCTGAGAGGTGGAGGCTGCAATAAGCCGAGATTGCACCACTGCACTCCAGCCTGGGTGACAACAGTGAAACTCTGTCTCAAAAAAAAAAAAAAAAAAAAGAGTGAAGGGCAAAATAAATAGACATTTCAGCTGAAGCTTTCCCAAGGACCGGCACTTTCACCTCAGAACAATCCCATCGACCAATTATCACTCTCTACTTACAGACAACTTGGTCAAACTTGCCTACAGTCCCCTAAGTGGCAGGGCCTTTGCCATGTGCTCTTTTTGGCCGTCTCTGCCCCCACACTGCAGGGCCTGGAGCTGCCACTGGCTGCAGCCTCGAACTCGGGGCCCCAGATCAGCCACTGGGAGCAGTGTTCCAAGTCACTCTATGTGGGTGACGAGAAGCCCATGGAAATTCATACCGTCCTTCCTCCCTGAGGTGCCCCCTCCCTTCCTGGGCGGCTCTAGGGCAACCCCCAAATGGAGAGGCGCACAGGGACCGCCGGACAAGGAGGCCTCAGCCGGCCCCCCGGTGCTGGGCACAGCACAGGCCTACCAGTGGGTGCCCAGAGAGGTGAGAGGTGGTGTCCCTAGTGACCCGCCCAGTAACAGGTCCCTGCACGCCAGAGCCAGAGACGGGCAAAGATGGTATCGTGGGTTGAACTACTAACCCCTGGTACCTATGTTAAAATCCTAACCCCTGGTACCTATAAATGTGAACTTATTTGGAAATAGAGTCTTTGCAGATGATCAAGTTAAGGTGTGGTCATACTGGATTATGGTGAGCCCTAGATCTAAGGGCTGGTATCCTGATAAGAAGGCCATATGAAGACACAGCACACACAGATACAGGGAGGAGGCCATGGGGAGACAGAGGCAGAGGCTGAAGGGACGCATCAAGAATCAAGGGCAGGCCAGGCACGGTGGCTCACAACTATAATCCCAGCACTTTGGGAGGCCGAGCCGGGCCTCCCAATGCCCGGAAATGCCCGGAAATGCCAAGGATTGCCAGCCACCACTAGAAACCGGTGGGGATGCCTGGAACAGAGTCCTCCCCGGAGCTGTCAGAGAGAGCCAAGCTGTGCCAGCATCACGACTGCAGACTTCTGGCCTCCAGAACTGTGAGAGAACAAATTTCGGTTGTTTTAAGCCACCCAGTTTGTAGCACTTTGTCACAGCTTCCCTAGGAAACTGACACAGAGCTGAAACGAGAGTGTGCGGGCTCCAGCCCCCGAGAACTGGGCTACCCCCAAGCCAGTGGCACTTGCTGGCTTTCTTCTCCATGTGCCCCCCCGGGGGAGACTTCACCCTTGGATCTCACAGATGCCCCCTGCAGCCATGGTAATCCAGTCCCAGCCCCATGACTTACGAGCTGTGTGCCCTCACCCAAATCACTCACCCTCTCTGAGCCCGACTGCCTCATGGATACAATGGGAATTGTCATCCCTGCCTGGCCATGGTTCTCCTAGGGTAAATGTGAAATTCATACGATTCTGTGGACTAGGACGTTCCCTGGAAACTCTGGCCGAGGCCTGCAGACAGGAGAGGAAGATGCTCGCCAGGGACTTCCTCCCCAGCACGTCAGGGGACTTGCTCCCCTCGTCCATCACCATAAGTGCTGCTGACACCACTAATGATCCATCAGGGCTCAGGGCAGAGAGGGGGCCCTAGGCAAGCCCAGCTTAAGCCTTCTGATGAGGTTGTTGCATTTAATTAGCATTGTCAGAGGTATCAGGGCTGCTAAGGATGGAGGTGGGCGAGGAAGGAGGGGTCCGCCTGCTGCTGAAGGGAAATGTCAGGGAGAGGAAGGGGCTCCTGCAGTCATCAACGACTGACCATGGGCTTGGGGAGAGGATTTACCCAGCAGCAAGCTGACACTGGGATAAGAAGATGGGGAACCCCCTCCCCACAGAGTCCAGGTCCAGCGGGGTGGCGTGGCAACTTTGGTTATAATAGTAAACCTTCTGGGCACTTCCTGGGAGCCGCGCCCCAGCTTTGGCACTTCACACCTATTACTGAATCTTTTTAACAACTCCAAGAAGTTGTTGTGCGCTGTTATCATCCCCATTGTGCAGACGAAGAAACTGAGGCACAGAGAAGACAACTTGCTAACAGCTGCTCAGTTAGTAAGGGCAGGGGAAAGATTGGATTCCAGCAGGCTGTCTCTTGAGTCCTTGAACTTGCCCCCCAGGCCTGGTTCTCCTCGCGGCATGTATGGGGTCAGAGGTGGGGGGCTGAGGAGTTGGTGGAGGAGAAAGCAGGGGCTGAGCAGAGGCCCCACCCTCCTCTGTGAAAGAAACCCTCAAAAGGCCCAAAATGTTTCCTGCAGGTGGGAGACCCTAGCCTGAGACTCACAGCAAAAGGGTCTGGAGTTTGGGGTCTGATTCTGCCAGGGATGCAGCTTTTACCTCCACGTACTTCCAGGGGACAGGGGAGAGCTGGCGTGGGACCACCTTAGGTCCTGAGTGCTGGCTGCCCGGAGGGGCATGGAGAACACAGCAGAGGGAGGCTGTGCCTGGGGGATTGAGCGAAGCCACAGGACGCTACTGGCCACAGGACATACAGCAGGGGCTCCCTAGGTAAGGACTCTGCAGGAGATGACTCTACAGGAAACTTCCAGACTGCCCTGTGAAGGACTCATGACAGGTATGAGCAGCTGTAATCACCCACCAAGCGCATCCGGAGTGGGCACAGCCACTGGCAGGTAGAAGGCGGCCCATCCCCAGGCTCCCTTCCCAGCCAAAGAGAGTTGCCTGAAAGGGGCTGCAGCCGGCTCCTTCCCCATGTCGCCCTCCAGCAGGGAGCATGCCGGGCTGCGGGAGCAGGAGGGGAAGCGCCAAGTCTGAGCAGAGTCAGACTGTTTCTGGGACTGGACGTCACTGCTGTGAGTGACAGAAGGCTGCTGGGCTCTC